AACTATTCAGATGCAAATTTTATATGTTGTCTTTACGGTAAAAAATATCGTTAACAGTGAGGGTGTTCAATTGATTAGAAATACATTATAATCGTTATAAGTAAGAATATAAGAACAGAATATTTTAATTAGCTTTGTTTATTATATGATCTCCCCCCCCCCCCCGTGGCACAGCGGAATGTCTGCAGACTTACAACGCTAGAAACCGGGTTTCGATACCTGTGATGGGAAGAACACAGATAGCAAATTGTGTAACTTTGTGCTTAATTACAAACAAAAAACAAAAACAAAAAAAATCTGGTTGATTTTTATTTTTGATCAAAGTAGGTTGTTTGCTCTGACAGAAAGATAATCAATTTAATGGCAAGTGTACCTTCACGGACGATTCACTTCTACAGTTGCTTTATTTCCGTTGCGTGGTTAATCGAGAGGTCAGGTGCTCGCAGCATTGCGTTACTATCTGATGCAACTCGGAGGATTGCATGCATTAACGAAATAGAAGACAGCCGTCGTGAATAGATTTCCTAAACGTAGGTCTGTGTATATTTCATATTCTTAAAAATATTTAAGAATTTTTTGAACGAATTCCGGAGAATGCAAAGTCTTCACCACCAGCAAAAGCCTAATGTTTCTTCCGATTTGCCTCTGCCCTTGTCCATGTTTGCTGATGATTCAAGGCGAAATTCACTGAAAGCGATTTTACCACGTGAAATTTAGCTTAATACTTATTTTTTTGTCACTAGACTGTGTAATATTTGTGTTATTTCTTACATCAGCACTGAGAATTACAGCATAAGAACAAGACAAGTATTACTGTGGAAACAAATTATTAGAATTAAGATAAACGGATTATGATGACTTATTCATTACTTAATTTCAGGGGTGCATCATTCTGATGATCCCAAGGGCGAAACTCTTGTAATGACAGAGCTGGAGAAACAATATGGAGATATCGGTGAACCGACTTACTTTCCTTCGCCATACGCCATGACAAAAATTCCCGTTTTACCGAGAGAGGTCGCTAATAGAGAGGGAGAAAGTTTTCATGGATCTACCAGAGGGTCGGGAAATAATTATGACGTCCCCCAGCCTGTAAGTTCATCGTTATAGTAGAGGTTCAAAACATATTCATTACCACTAAATTTAACTGTCTAGGTCTGATGTTTGTGTCTTATTTAAACAAAACATCTTACAAATTCTTTCATGCCAACGTGTTTGACCTTCGCTTTCGTTTTGTTCTTCTTTCTTTTTAGAAGCACATGCGTTTAAGCCAGCTACTTCTACATACATCTACATCTTTATCACCACAGTAATTACAATATCTTACATTGTAGTAGAATTTTTGACATAAAAACCTGTTTTTCAAAAACATTCTTTGTAATTACAAGTTTTTAATGTTAGTGATATCGTAATTCTAATATTTTGTATGATAAAATTCCGGGGAAGAAAGAAACAAAATCGTTTGTCATTAATTGGTATTTTGATGGAGACTAATCCCGGTCAATTTATTGACTGCTGACTAAGTAAGGGAATTTGTAACTGTAATTCTTATTGATCGCTTACTAAGTGAGGGAACTTATAACAGTAATTACTATTGATCGCTGACTAAGTAAGGAAACTTGTAACTATAATTATTATTGATTGCTGACTAAGTAAGAATACTTACCAGTGGCGTAGCAAGAGGGGACAAGGGGAGGCAGTCGCTCCCGGGCGCAGGTGTGAAGGGGCGCAAAATTTCCTCTGGCCTATAATGCCTATTAATTAATAATTATACACTCCCCTAGAATATAGGGCAACTGCCCCACGTTAAGTAAATACGACACGGTGTTACGTTATTTT